CAGCCCTGCTGCCCCTTGCCCCCCACCCAAAGCCCCTGCCGCAGAGCAGCGGGGAGCTGGGAACAGGCAGCTTTCTGCATGCCCTGCTGTGCCCTGCTGCATGGGTTCCAATGCTGCTTTGCAGAAGCAGGGAGGGCAGTACAGCAGGGAGCATTGCCGGTATGTGCTGCCTCTTCAGAGCCTGGGGCCAGGTCTGGGGCTGGGAGGCAGCTGGGCTGGGGCCGGGGTGGAGAGGCAGCAGATGTTTGCAGCTGGCCCAGGTTCTGGGTAGCTGCTAGCCACGGAGCCTGGACTGCTTGCAGCAGGGCTTCCATGGGAGCAGCCCAGGCTCCATGGCTATCAGCATCTCCCTAGAGCCGGGGCCGGCTGCAGCCGGGAGGCTACAAACAGCTGCTGCCCTCCCGGCCTGGCCCCGGCTATCTCCTGGCCCCAGGTGCCAGCACTGTGCCTGTTGGGGCTGGGGCTGGGGGCAGGGAGGTAGCAGCTGTTTGTAGCCTCCAGGCTGCAGCTGCCCCGGCTTTGGGTAGCTGCTGATAACCATGGAGCCCAGGCTGCTCCCAGCAGTGCTTGCAGCATCCCAGCTGTCTGCTGGGAGCAGCCCTGGCTCTTGGCTGGCAGCAGCTACCCAGAGCTGGGGCTGGCTGCACCCAGGAGGCTGCAAACAGCTGCTGCCTCCCTGGCACTAATGCGTGCCAAGGAAAATGGCCTCGCGTGCCATGCTCAGCACATGTGCTGGGGGTTGCCGACCCCTCCTGTAATGTATAGGCAATGTGCGCTTACCTTAAATTGGCAAAACTGGTAGAGTTTATTCAAGCCTTTTTGTACTTCCCTCTCCAGGCAAAATGAGCTGCATTGGAAGGAAGGCCACTTTGCTTTTGTAACTTAATCTATACAAGTAACTTTTTCTGGCCCAGCTGTCAGATGTTCTTTCTCATTATATACCTGGCTGACCTGGCCTTACTTCTGTGAGTAGACCCATTGAACTCTGTAAACTCTGGTCTACACAAGAGAAACTCAGGAAGATTAATCTAAATTAACTTTTTAATAGATTAAGTAGTCTTGAACTGAATTATATTCTGATGTAGAGACTCTTATTCAGAATTAAAATGTCTTTAATGTGGTTTAGCTCAATACAAGTTCATTACATTAAAACAAATTAAGGCCATCTATGAAATTTTCCATACTGGGTTAAAATGCAGGTTAATCAGTCCACTTGAAATTCGCATCGTTTGTTAATTTGGATTAACTTTTATTTAGGACCTATACCTAGGCGTACACCGAGACTGTTTGCGTGTGTAAAATTGCTCACTTTTTACTTTTTGGGTGGAAGCCTTGTTTTGCATAGATAATGTATTATACTGAAGATGTGACTAATACTGAGAAAGATAATTCCAGTCATGCATTGCATAGATACAATCAAAAGCAAATATTCAGCGATCAGGACGTTGTCAAGAAATGAATCTAATCCCAGAAGTTGAGTCCTTTGCCTTTTTAAATCAAACCATAAAATGGGAATTGTGGAAATGAATGTTTGTTGTATTAATGCCTCCTCTAAGGAATGGGTGATTATTTAATCTCTGTTTGCCTCCTCAGTTGGTTTTACTGAAAGGCTTATCATTGGCATATAAATACCTAAAGCATTCTGGTTTCACCACATCATTCAATGGTGTTTTTTAAGTTAAGCAGGAGAAAACAAATGCATAAAATTGCAAATTTTAGCTATTGTCAAGGAGAGACTTGCAGAGGATTACATAATAGTGAGCTGTGATCAGGGACTTCAGAAGCCCTGACTGTCTGTCTAATGAAAAGAACTATATTTCATACCCACCAACTCAGGTTGTGCTTATTTCAGATGAAACGCACAGCACTCCACTTCGCTGTTGCAGGAAGTCATTTTTCCACCGTGGATTTTCTTCTCCATCACAAAGCCAGAGTTGATATAGCAGATAAGGTAAACAAACTTGTTTTTCACAGGTTGGTTAATGTACAGTACACCATTTAAGAATGGTCTGGTGGAAAAGTACTGGCAGATATGGAGAAAATGGTTCTTCTTGCTTCCCTCTATTTTACAAGGTATTAGCTGTCATTTAATTTGTAAGAACCTGCCTTTCCCCTGCCTCACAAACATTTTAGATAAGTTAAATTAAAAAGGTGGACAGTTGGCTGCAGTCTTAAGCCAGGTCCATACAAGGCAAATTTACCAGGCCAGGCAGTTGTGACCTTCAAACCTATTACTCCCTGACCTTGAAGCAGTGTAGTTGCATACATGTGACACTGAGCAGGGCAAGCTGGTGAGTAATACTACTCACCCGTGCTAATTAGCTGCACTGCTTCCAGTTTAGGAAGCAGCCCAGGTGAGGCAATACAGTATGTCTGAGGATGCCCATAATTGCAACACTGCTGCTGTTGGTGTGCATGTGTTCATCTATGTCTAATGGTGACTTTCAGCTGCCATCACCCCAAAATCCTGGGGAGCTGTGAATGAATCTGGCATCCTCTATGAATAGAAACAGCCTTCAAGTGCTCTGTATTAGAACAACTACACCAAGTAAGCTGTTGGCTAGGAAAGTTTGTCTCTCTGAACCCGTGAGTTTCAATGAGCATCTTTATATGTGCTCCAGGGTGGAAGGGGGTGCTTTAATGAAAGCAGCTCCTAGAACCACTCTAATTAAAGTGCCCGCAATGTAACGTATATTCAGCGTCCTGCGCTTCAAAATGGCAGTAGCGGTGCTTTAACTAAACTTGCTCAAAGAGCTTTAGTTAAGGTGCCCCCGCCCCCATTTTGAAGCACAGGGACACTGAATACATGTGATGCTGAGGCTGCTGGTGCATGATAATTAGCACATTCTAGCAGAATTGATTAATCAAGTCTGTTCTGACATGTGCTAATTAGCAAGCATTGGAGCAGAAATCCAGCACGTGTGTGGGTGCCCCAAGATGTTACCTTGTTCTGCTTTCTGCATGTCCCAGATGAATGTCCTAACCAGTTGGCCAGTTTGATGTCTGTTGCTTTAGCCAAAAAATTCACATTGGATCTGTGAAACCTTCAACAAACTGATATTTTCTATGGAAAGTGAAAAAAAAATATTTAGTTGAGAAACTTCTAATCAACTTGAGTTATACTGTAAAAAATGGAGGAGAAAGTATATGAGGGCTGTTCAAAAAGTATTGAGACTGATGCTGTAGGATACAAAATATTTTATTTACAGGGGTTTTAGCTTAATTTCCTTCCAAGTATGCTCTGTCTGCAGCCACACACTTCTCCCAGTGTTTCTACCATTGTTGGAAGCACCTCTGATAAGCAATTTATGGAATTGCTAAAAGCTGCTCACCCTAATTTTGTTTCATAGTTTCCACATCACAAAATCTTCTTCCTTTCAAGGTTTTCTTTAGTTGAGAGAAGAGAAAAATGTTGCATAGGGCCATATCATGTGAATATGGAGGCTGCAGCACTTGTAGGATACAGTGTTTGGCTAAAATTTGGCTAAAAATTGCTTCACAAGCTGTGCTGAATGGGCAGGCACGTTGTTGTGGTGAAGCATCCAAGAGTCGGACACGCACTTTTCTGGTGGTTTTTCTGGTTGTTTCATTCCCAAATCACCAGTTAGAATTGAATGACATGAACCAACTGAAATTCCAACTTCTTCTGCTGTCTCTTGGACAGTCAGTCACCTATCATTTTGAATCAAACTGTGAACCGCTGCCACATTTTCATCATTCTGTGATGTTGAAGGATGTCTGAAACACTCATCACTTTCGACTGATGATTGTCCTTCCTTAAACAGATGATACCATTCAAAAACTCTTCTATGGCTCATTGTGTTGTTAC